CGCGGGTTGGTGGCCGGCAGCGTCGTCTTGCCGCAGCCCTGGGCCCGCCTGGCGCCCGCGTCGCATCCTGGCTGCTGCCTGTGTGGCAGCAACAAAGACAACGTCGCCTGTGGCACTGAGCAGGCTGGGAGGAAAGGGGCAGGATTGACGTGGCCTTCCTGGGAGGATCAGGGCAAAACATCTTGGTACTTGATAGCACTGACTGCCAAGGCAACAGCGCTGCTTGTGCTATCGGTTACGCTGCTCCAGCCGTGAGGAGGCCACAGAGTAAGAAACCGCTCTCATAAGGCTGAGTAAAAGGGATGTGGGTGAGCGCAGGTGACCTGCTTGGCTGCAGCCGCTGCCTGTCTAGAGGGGGCGGCGTTGTTAGTGTTCTATGGCTGCTGCCAGTAGGTGGGTCATTCTCCCTCCATGGCTTTGCTGTGGGACAAAATGAGATAGGCATTGACCCTGTTGGAGTAACACCTGTACGGAGTCCAGGATTCAGCAGGACAGCCCTCAGTGGGTAGAAAATAAGTTGTCAGGGTCCTGACAGCTTGGCCAGTGCCTTCCTGTGTTACTTACAGACCAGATCAGCACTGTAGATGTCACTACTATTATTACATTTCTAGGTTAACAGTATCAAAGTGTTGTAGCTGTGTTGGTCGAAGTGTTATGCAAGAGGCAGGGTTTTCTGTAGGTGATGTTTTTTCACTGCATAGTTGGAATAAGGGTGGACAAGACCCTGAATGCCAGGCATTCTGCATCAGGTCCTCACGAAGCTTGATCTGTGGAGGTCCCTTCCAGTCCTGCTTCTCTGTGACTTATTCCAACCATGTGGTGGCCAAAAAAAAAATCAACCACAAGAAAACCCCTGTGCTGCAGTTAGTAGTAGGAAAGATTCTCAGGCTTTGTAGTCTCTCTCATCTTTTTTACTTTACCAGTAGTTCCAATGTCACTTTCCTTGTTCTCTGTTGCTACTGAAGGAGTTGGCGTTCTGCTCCCTGCACGGGGCTTGCTGGCTTTCTAACAAGTGGGGTTTCCAGCCAGCCTTGGTTTGGAGCAGCAAGTTCCTCTCAGAATATTTAGAATCTGGAGCCATGTTAGTTGGCTCTAGCTGCACAGTAGAAAGCTCTGCCCTGTTTCTCATTAAAGCTTTCTGTGGGGAAGGCAGTGAAGAGGCTTCTTTCTGGCCACCTGATCTTCCATGGCATGACATCATAATGGCTGCTGTTCAGGGCGAGGAGGCTTGGGCCCTCAGCCCCTGAGGAAAGGGCTGCGCGCTGTGGGGCAAAATTCTTTGTCAAAATCCAACAAGTTTACAGCAGCTTGGAGATTGGGGAAGCTTCAGGTAAATTTTGCAAATGGTGTTTCCACTGGCTGTCCTTGCCACAACAAGCTGAAGGAACCCCATTGCTCTTTTTTATGGTTGGTTTGGGTTTTAATGCTGTCCATGTACTTTCTCTCTTGCACTGTCTTCAGAATTGTGAGCCTGAATATTTAGGTGAGCAGTTTCCCCTGCAGTTTTGTTTTAGGCTATCTGTAAACTTAAGCCATTATCACAGGGTTGGTTATTTTTGATTCCAGTTTTCAGTTTTTTTTCTAATACTTTCATGGGCTAGAAAGTTACGTGATTAGGAGCTCTGATCCATGAGCAGTTCTACAGCAGAAGATGAATTCTGTCACTTTGGAGTGTGTGCTGCTTAGCTCACCTGGGTTACTCGATCATGAAAAACTAAAGAGAACTGTGTGATGATGAGGGAACCATTATTTTGAGCTTTTGTTTTCTCTTCTCTAGGTTGACTCTTTCAGGGAGCGGATCACAAGTGAGGTAAGTGTTCCTTCTTCGTTGCCCTAGAGCAGGGGCGGAGAATTATATCGGGTGGAGGGCCACTTACTGAGGTTTGGCAAACCAGCAAGGGCCACATGACAGGCAGCCAGGGGCAGATATATATTCATTTTCTACATTTTGTAGGGGCCCCATGGGCCAGCAAGAACAGCCTGGCAGGCCGCATCCGGCCCACAGGCCGCATTTTGCCCACCCTTGCCCTAGAGTGTAACGGGAGGCTGTAGGAAGTGCTTTGCCCAGTGTGTGTCTTTTTGTTTGATTCTGTTATGATCTCTGCAGACTCCTTGCTGGCAGTGATTGTAAGCCACTTGCTGAGCAAAAGGGACATGCCACTGTATTGTTACTGTGGCTCTTGGAGAGCTGCCAGAACTGGTTGATCTTCCACTGTAGGCCTACCTGTGAGAGCGATTCATTCCCTCTGGGGTATTTGTTAGCTTCGGACAAAGCTGCACACTCCATCTGTGTTACAAGAATCTTAGCCTCTTGTGTGTCCTTGAGTGCTGACTAGGAACCTTAGGCACTCTTCTTGTATAACAGTCTGTGGCTTTTTCTCATTTAGGCTGAAGACTTGGTGGCAAACTTTTTCCCAAAGAAGTTGTTAGAACTTGACGGGTTCCTTAAGGTAAGCTGTGTGCTGTCACACCACTTCCCAGTGGGTGGTGGCCCAGACAGGGCCATGGCTCTTGGTGCTGGCTTCTGTCAAAGGAGGTAACACATGATAAAAGCTGAAGAGCAGTAGTGCAGATACCTTTTAGCCCTAGACAGAATGCACATATTTTCAGTTATTTTTCTGTAAGATGTTGGTTTTTGGTCATTCATGTAGCATGTGGAGTATTTCTGTACCCTCCTTTTATGTTCCTTCTGTTTTCTTCTTTTTTCTTTTTCTTTTTTTTTTTTTTGATGTTGCCTTTGGGCTCAGGACTGTACAAAGACATGATTATGGCACTCCGTTTTTAAACCTGTAGCAGTATACTGTCCTACAGTCCTGTCATCCAGTAGTCTTTTGTAGTTGCTTGTCTTATGAAAGAAATATGAGAGCTGGGACCTTCTGTCTACTCTGGCTGTTCAACATGACAAGCTGTTTGATTTGCAATATTATTCTTGTTTAATATAATTTTATTTTCCAGGACCCCATCCTGAACATTCATGATCTTACCCAAATCCACTCAGACATGAACCTCCCAGTGCCTGACCCGATCCTTCTCACAAACAGCCATGATGGACTGGATGGGGTAAGATTACTTTGTTGACTGTGATACGTGCGTCTGCTAATTAAAACTGCATGTTTTGCTGTGGGCTCAGTTAGGCTGTTCCTATTAAAGATGGGCTGCAGCTCCCTGATGCCCTTTGAGAATGGGTCTGTGAAGCCCAGAAATTCCTGTGGGAGGCAGTACTCTTTTTTTTTTTTTTTTCTCTGTAATCCTTCTCCATCTTGAGAGAAGAGTCTGTACTCAAATTAGGATAATAAAAGAGGTTTTGTAGTGATTTTCTGTTTGTTCTCTATGATGTCATTTTAGGTAATGGCTGATTTGTAAGTAAAACATTTTGTTGTGTGTGCATTTTAGCCAAATATGAAAAAAAGGAAGCTGGAAGACTGTGAAGAGACCCTCCAAGGTAAGAGTCCCCTTGTCTCTGTGCTATTGTCTGTCACTGAGCCCGCTTTTCATACCTGGGATATGAAATGGCATAAGACCCACCAACCCTATCCTGTTAGCCATAGCCGCCACTGCTGTACGCAGGCCTCTTGCACTGCCTCTTCAAAAACTGAACACTGGGCAGAGATTGAGTCATGAAGGAACCCTGTCTGGGTTCTGATGAAAAGAATTGGTTTTCCTTTGTGAGCATTGCTGTCAAGTCTTCCTACCAGTGGAGGCCGAAAGAGCTATGCTTGGCTCTAGCTTCCATGGTGCCCTCATATCTTCATGAAAAGGAAGGTGCCAACCTCATGCTCAGTTGAGATGAGACAAAAGCAGCTTCTACCTGTGGTGGAAGGAGGCTGCTGTGCACTGTGTTTCGATTTATTCACAGTTTTGGCCTCAGTTCCATCTTTTCTTCGCTCCTTCCCATGTAGTTGTTTCCAGTACTGCGCTAAATATTCCCTTCTCCCATACCGTCCATCTCAGCTGCAGTATGCCTGGTCCTGGCTGTCAGTGTGAGGTGCTGCAACTAAACACCTCTTCCTTCTCTGGCACTAGGTACCAAAGTGTTTGTGATGCCCAATGGGATGCTGAAGAGCAACCAGCAGCTGGTGGACATCATTGAGAGAGTGAAACCAGAGATCAGGCTGTTGATTGAGAAGTGTAACACGGTGCGTATAAGACTGAGGACCCCAAACACTCAACTGGATGGAGACTGGCCTGCCATGGCTGGTAGAATTGTCATTTTAATGTCTTTTTCCCATGGAGTCATGGCTCCCCCAGCTTACAAGGATTGAGTCCCACCACCTCTTGTTGGGAATTTTAAGGCCCTGCCCAAAAGGACAGAAATGTTTCCCAAAGCTTACTGTGCAGCATGATGTCAGTTCCTATGGAAGGGAGCCATCACTGCAGCCATGGGAAGAAGCTGTTTCCTGGAAGGGCTTGTGCCTGTTGCCCTTCCTTTCACTGAGTACAGTGCTTGTCCTCAGTGCTGTATGCTGACCTGGTTTGATGAAATCAAAGATCTGATGTTGCGTTAGATGTGTGTTGCAATGAGAAGCTTTGGCTCAGGTGTGCCATGATTCCCAGAAGATTTGAAGGAGCAGTCAGTGCACCAGGATCCATCGAAAAACACCATGCAAGTGTTTTGATGGATCCTGGATCAGGCCTTGGATGAGCTGCCTGGGGAACAGCTTAGTGGGGCCTCTGAACAAACTTCTCGGAAGACAGGTTCTTCTGCTGGACTTTGGCTCACAGTGTCATGTTTTTTCTCCTTTTAGGTCAAAATGTGGGTGCAGCTTCTTATCCCTAGGATAGAAGATGGAAACAACTTTGGTGTTTCTATTCAGGTATGGCAGCCTGTGGCTTGTAGAGGGGGACTAAAACTCAAGGTCATCTCTGATTCTTTTGGAGCCTTTAAGATCCATTTGGTTGTGCCTCTAGGTATCTGTGGAGCTGGTTTTGAGGCTTAACCCCAACATCTTCCCTAGCATCTGAGGGGGCAGGTTGGGAGTAGATTGAATGGTCTGCACTGTAGCATCCAAAGCCATTGCTCTGCTGGGGAGCCAGAAAGCCAGCCATAGAGCTCCAAGTCAGGAAAACCAAGCTATACTTATGACTGCGGGACCAAATGGGATATCCTGGGTTATTGAGCCTATATGCACAGTAGGGTCCATGTTAGTCCCTTTCCCAAGCTTATTTAGCTCTGTCGAAAGCAGCTAGTATCCCAGCCAGAAGGTTTCATTGGAGTCTTGCTACTCTGATAGCTAGAAAACTCTTTTAAATTCCATCTTGAATGTATGCAGGACCAGTTCATAGCTATTTGTTCTTGTGCCCACATTGTTTTCTAGTTTAAATAGTTCTCTTCTCTCTGCCATATTTATACAGTGGTTGGATCCCTCCTGAGCCTTTGGGTTGCTAGATTAAGCTAGCCAGTTCTCTGTTTGAACAAGACTGTATGCTGCGGGGACTTGGTTTTGCCCAGATTCCGAGATAGTCAGAATTAGGATGGTTAGGGGTGAGCTAGTTTTATTGCTTTATTTCTAATCTTGAGCAGTGCAAGTTTCTCTGGCAGTTCCTTGGCTGAGCAAGGAGTTTTGTGGCTGGGGAACCTGGTCAGATTCTGTCTGGCTTCTCTGGCACCTGCACCCTTTGATCTTGAGCCCCATGTTCTGTTTCCATTCTGGACTTGAGAGAGTACTTTCAGGGCCTCAGGCACTTGCCCTGAGGGTGATGTCGGATGCTCTTGCTTCTGTTCTGGAAAAAGCAGTGTCCTTACCTTCCTTGCAGGAGGAGACTGTAGCTGAGCTTCGTACTGTGGAGAGTGAGGCAGCTTCTTACCTGGACCAGATTTCTAGGTAGGTGGTAGGGATGCTGTTCTCAGGGCGTTCCTGCAGACGCTGAGTGTTTTTAAGGTGAAGGCTTTTGTCTTCTGGGGTGGGGCCAGGCTTGAGGACACTACTGTTCATCTGGCTATTAGATCTGCTTTTTTTTCCTTCCAGATACTATATCACACGAGCAAAGTTGGTTTCGAAAATAGCAAAATACCCGCATGTGGTAAGTGGAGTTTTGTTGAGATAACATGTTGGGGAGGCTGGCATTCTTTTGTTTCTATGGCTATTTTATGTGGGCTCTTTCATCACTGGCTCCATTGAATAGCAGCTGCTCAGGGTCTACAGCAGGAGCGGGCAGTTATTTTGGGTCGAGGGCTGCTTACCAAGTTTTGACAAGTTGTCAAGGGCCTCACTGGTAGCCCCGCTCCTTGATGGATGCCCCGCCCCTGGTTGCCATCTTGTGACCGGAAGTCCCACCGCCTGGCCTTTGCCACCAGAAGTCCCTCCCATTTCCCCTGGAAGTACTCCTTTCAGCAACAGGTTTTGTCATCTTGGAACCAGAAAAATACCAAATTGTATTCTAAAAAGCAGACATCTACAACATTATCAATTTGGTTTCAAAAAGTATTTCTGTCCTGATTTACTTGCATTCATGCAGTGTACATAGAGGTGATTGCACAGTAGCTTAAAATAAAGCCTAACTCTTATATTTTGTGGCGGGTGGGTATAGGTTTGTGGGGAGGCTCTGGATGTGTGGGTGTGTGAGGTGAGAGAGTATGTGGGTGTGTGTGTAGATATGTGGGAGGTGGGTTGGATATGGGGCTTGTGGGAGGAAGGGGGAAGGGTGCCTGGGGCGTGTGAGGGGATGTGGGGGGTCTGTGTGTATGGCAGTGCAAGGGGGGTATGGGTGCATGTGTATGGTGGGGTGTGCATGTGGGACTCGGCCTTTGAACTCTCTCTCTCTCCCTGCATCCACACACACACATCCCCTTACTGGCGTGGTCCCATGACCCTGGCTGGGCGATGCAGCTGGCAGCCAGGTGGTGCTGGCAGGGGTGGGCTTTTTAGTCCTGCTGAGGCTCCCCCTGGGTTCTAGTGCTGCTGTCAGTTTGACAGGCTGTCCAGGCAGATTAATATTAATTTTCTAAATTTTTTAGGGGCCCCGTGGATCAGATAGAATGGCCTGTCTGGCCCGCAGGCTGTATTTTGCCTGCTCCTGGTCTATGGGGTGGGGAGCCTGCAGGAACTGGGAGGATCAGGCTTCTGTCAAGGTTGAACTGGAAAGTGAATGGAAGGGAATTATAAGAGAAAACGGCCTCCCACTTACCATCAGTACAGGAGAGGGTCACCCAGGCTTAAGCCACTGACAATTATCTCTTCCCTTCTCCATAGGAGGATTATCGCCGCACAGTGACAGAGATTGATGAGAAGGAATACATTAGTCTGCGCCTGATCATATCAGAGCTGAGGAATCAATATGTGAGTGAGAGCTGTAGCCCCAGCTTGTTCCCCAGTGGGGGAGCCCTTGGGATCCTTTTCCAGTGCAGAGTTCTGGCTGGCCCTGGCCCTCTTTCCTGTGCCTTGGCCAGCAGGCACAGCAGCCCATTACTCTAGAGTCTCTGTTTCCAGTTGATGAGTGTTCATGGAAAAATCCCAATATCCAGAGTGCAGAAGTCAGTGGGTTGACAGTTCCTTGTGCTCTTTGGGATTTTTTTGTTCCAAGCTTTCCAGGTGGATCAGGGTGTTCCTCAGCTCTGCATTAACAAACCTGTTCTCACTAGTAGTATTTGCTGTGGCCACCACAAGGCCACACCCCAGGGGCAGGAATGCAGAGGAGCCCAAGGGCTCTTAGCTTTCCAGTGAGCTGTGGTGTGGTCTTGACTGGTGCTTGTGAAGGGAAGCTTATTAAGTGATGCTGATGCTCCTTTATCAGGCTGCGTGTCCACAGCTTCTCTCTTTCTTTGCAGGTCACTTTGCATGACATGATTCTTAAAAACATCGAGAAGATCAAGAGGCCTCGGAGCAGCAATGCCGAGACCCTCTACTAAGTGTCAACATTTGAACTTGAGAACTGTTCAGTCCACTAAAGACCGTCATTGCCTTGGTTTGTTACGTGACTATCGAGATGGGAAACTGGCTGGAAATAGTATCGCACTCTTAGTTAAATTCTAACGAAACTCACCTAGTTCTGTGCTTGGTTTGTTCAGGTCTCAGGAACTCTCCCTCCTTGTAGTAATTGGTATTGAGAGCACCACTGCTGTGGGACGTGCAAGCTACTGCAGGCTGAAAGCAGCAGCCAGGCAGGAACGCTATCATGCCTTTCTTCCTACCTAGGTAGGAACTGATGTAGAGACCAGGCACTGGTCTACTGAAGATTCCCTATTCACCTGTGAACTGAAAAGTTTTGCTGGGGTCTCTGGGCATGGGGCAGATGCAGTTTCCTCTGCATTAAGCTGAGACCAGGCAATGATGCCCTGGCTGGGAGAAGTCATTCTAGTAGCCATTCTATACTTCCTAGCTGCAAGGACAGGAGGATGTGTCCCTTGGAGAAGGTGACTCCCCCAGCCCAGATAGAAGCTATGCTCAATGTGCCATTAAGAGGGCTAGCTCTCTTCTGGCTTGTTCTACAATCGAGCTTACCCAGGTTTCCTTTTCCTTTGTGTAGTACAGCTAGATCCAGCACACAGGGCTATGTGAAGCCAAAGTCACTAGAGCTTGCATCTGCCAGCCCACACTGCTGGGGTGGCAGATGCAGAGTACAGGTGTCTTTGGCTCGTGCATGTAATTTTCCTGTTGCCTCCACAAAACCTGTGGGGTTAAAATTAATGTTAATATCACATGTGATTTCCTGCATCCTGTCTCCTTTAGTGTGAGGTATTTCTTCCCTGGATGAGCTAGGAGTGAAATGCACAAGCAAGTTGTTATCTGCTGTCCCCAGCTGCATGCTGTGGGGTATCTGAATGGAGCAGGCAGTTCTGATGGCTGATCCTTAGGGTTGAGAATGGCCATAACTGCAAACAGACCCTTAGCTAAACTTATGCGCTTGTCTCCTGGCTGTTCCTTTCCCTGTGAAAAGCCATTCAGTTCGTTCTCATGCTTCCTTCTTCACAACTGCTAGAGCATTTCATGGCCCATTGCAAGCCCCTTTGGAAATGATTGGTTTGGTTGTCAGTTGGTATGTGTGGCAAATGGATCCCCAACACTGTAGGCTTCTAAATCTTCCTATTTATAGTATTTCTCTTTTGCTCCCCCAGCAGAATATTGAGCCAGCTGTTTCTGGAACTCTTTGTTTTCCTGGGTCTTGCTGTTACACCCATTTATTCTTCTTGTGCAGTAGCCTTAATAGCTGTGTTCATGTCATTGTAACAACGTGACAGATGGAATGAATCTTCTTCCCCTTCCTTATGTCCTGGTTTGATTTTTTTTTCTCTGTATGTGAGAGCCATGCTGTGTCTTGCTGGCTTCCTGAGATTTGCCTGGAGTGTGGAAGGCCCCTGACCTTTCTGATTAGACTTTTCTTTTGTTTGTAGCAAGTCAAATCTTAGTCTTCCCGTTAATAAATATTCAGTAACAAACCAACTGCGTTTTAGCCGCTGCCTAGAAGCAGCACCTTCCCCTGTGTTTCTTTGTATTGATTCCTTTTAATTTGTTCACTTTTCCTTGCCAGATGAACACATGTAATAATTTTACCATGTCAACAAATTAAAATACAGGTACTTTGACTCCTTTTTGTTAGACCCTGTGTGTGCCACAGAGTTGTCAGACATGGTGTGCCTTGCTTCAGTCCTGCCTTTGTTGTGTCTGCTCATTCCATCCCTGCCCCAGGTCTAGCTTCTTTTCCTTTACTGTTTTTTTGTGTTCGCTACTTCATTGGGGTCCCATTTCTGTAATATCCTTCACAGTGGTTCCAGGGCTCAAAGTCTGACACACCCATCCAAGTGAATGGGGTGACTTTGTTCTGTGTCCTTCTGGAGCAGTCTGCAGTGGATGTGAGGGGCTGGCAAGCTGTGTGCCAGTGGTGTGAATAACAGCCTTCCACCTCTAGGCAAATGTTCCATGCTGTCTGCCCTGCTTTCCTGAGTGCATGTTCATAGTGAAATTGTGAGTCTCAGTGGAGTGGCCAGCCATTGGCTGCCAGGGGTGCCCTGCATATGTAGTTGCAGGAGCTGTCCTACATGCCCTTTCTGGCCCTTTCACAAGTCTGAAGCTAAGGGGACACTGGTGTCCTTTCAGGTGGAGCTCTTTGGCTGTATAGCAGTGGCCCCAAGTGGGCTGAAGCCATGGTGTGGATCCGCAATCCTTGTTCTCCTGTCATTCAGTTACCGTCTCCAAGCTGTAGTTGCCTATGAATGTCTAACAGCCCTATCCTTGTGAGGGGAGACTTGTTTCCTAGTGTTAATTCAAGTGTATGGTCCTTTGTCAGGATTTTCCAAGTTCCTCCTTTTTCCCTTCACCCCAATGAAGCTTGAACTCTGTTTAGAGAAGACTGAAATCTTCTCCTGAGCTCCCTGCCACAGAGCCTGGAACCTGGGCTCCCATCTTAATGAACAGAGCCTGCATGTTTCCTGGGGTTTATGCTTGGGTAAGCACAAAGGTCGTGAGAAGGGACCAATTTAAGACAGTGTTCCTCAAACTTAATAAGCGACTTAACCAGGTATCTCTGTCTTGCTGATGGGAGGGGCTGGCTTTGAGCAGGAACAGCACTCTGCTCAAGGACAGACTGGAAGATTTGTTTTGCAGCCACTAGGGGATGCTGCTTTTCCATCCAGAGAAAAGCTAGGTTTGGATAGCACTGAGCTTCAGGCTCCTATCAGTGTTCTGGAGATGGTCATGCAGACCTTGTGAACCATCAGGAAATAGGCAGAACAGCTTCTGGAGGGACTCTGCCCATACTTCCTGCTTCCCATGAGGCTGCCTACACTACCGTACTCCCTGTGGTGTGGGAAAGGCTGAAGTCCTCCTTAGGCAAGGACCCCTTGCAAGGGGAGGGAAGGACTGTGGATTAAAATATAATTCCCTCTGAGTTTGAGAGGCTGCAGGTGCTGGCAACAGGAGCTGTGGCTGAGAAGGATTAATGCTTACAGGAGCTGACTCAGCAGTATGGAAAGCAGACTGTCGGCATTACCTTGGAAAAATAAACTAGCTCTGAAAGCAGCTTTGCAAAAATATACTTTCCCCTGGGCTGGTATTGCTGCTGGACCATAAATGGGGGGGAGTTTCTGTGTCTAGACCAGAGCAAATTCATGAGATTTACCTTCCCATCTTTACAGCCTGCTGTGCTTTACTGGAGAAATGGCAGTGTGGTGGCAAATGATAAATATGCATGGGAAATAGCACAGACTACCCACGATGTCATCTTCTTTAATTGCCCATTATAGCCATCAAGGCATTGCTGCTCCCCGAGGGACCTTAACCCTTTTTTAAAAGTGGCTCTGTGAAAACGAATAGGAATTGGGGATTCTCACGTGGACACTTAGAATGCTGGGAAAGACCTACTGAGAGGAGAAAATTTCAGACATGTCTGAGTTGAACAGTATTTGGGCCTGGGTAATGCCAGAAAAGCTGGCAAAGGGCAGTCTGTTGTATTGGACTCCCTGCCTTGCTGTCTGACACTCTGGTGCTACCTCTCTTCAGAGGGAAGCTGGCTGTTGCTGAGGTTCCTGGAAGTTGTAGAAATGATTTGCAGCAGAACCTTTTGCATGTGTTGAACAGTCTGCTCTGTTTGGGCTAATGGAGAACTCTGCCCTGCCCTATGGTGGTAGGGGCAGGGTGAGGTGGGTAACTTACCAACACAAGATGTAACATTGGCTTGTTCCAGAAAGTAACTACCTACCTAAAATAAACTTCAGTGGGGTATGAATTCTCCACTGTGGAGCCCAGACAGGAGGAGCTCAGCACTGCTGTGGGATGAGATGTGTGGGATGAGAGAGATTTTCCCAAAATAGTGGTAAACAAGTCGTATTGGTAGTAGTAAGACCTGCTGTTTTTTTTCTAAGCCTCCTTTCTGGTACTCAGTATGGTCTCTGTGATGAGAAGTAAAACCAAGTCCCTTACCCGTGTAGTTTTTAAAGAGCTCAGATGACTTAATTTTCTTAAGAACTGGATGCTGGCGTACACACCCTGTCTCAGGTTCTCAATTCAGCTTCATGGAATTCCCCTCAGTTTGAAGTGGATTCAGGTTTCTGACATGGTCTCCTGTGTGGCATAACTGCTATTTTCTTGCTTTGAGGTCCCTCAGTTTAAATCTAAGAGAAGTGTAAGGTATTAAATATATATTTGCAGGTATCACAGCAGAAGTCTTTGGGACAACCTTGGGCAAATACTCAGCTTAGAGACTTGGGAGAGCAGCAGCACTGAAGTAGACCCTCTGCTGTGTCTTTTCCCACAAACTTTGCACTCATGTATTTGGGGTTTACAAGGATGTCATTGTGGATTATGTCTACATGCTAACATCCACAGCACGCAGCTCCAGTCCTTTGTACTTGGGCAGTCCAGCTACTTGCTCTGAGCTGGTGCCTGCATGTCAGGGTAGTAAAGGCCATGGTGTTTCCAGCTTTTGTAAAGCAGTGCCATGATCATTTAAAAAAGTGCATGCACACATGCACACTAACAGAGCTTTGTCTACATACCGTGCAGCCTTGGAGGACAGCCTCAAGTCCTCTGCTACTTTCAGTCATCCACAAAATTGCCTGAGGCCCTTTGAAAGTCCTTGTGAGTCACCTCTTGAGCAGGCTCTGTCCCCATGGCACCTGCTCTATTGTCTCCCTTCTGTTTTTGTACTGCTTGTCTCTATGTTACTAAACAACCCCAGAGAAGATGCATGTGTCCTGTGCAATTGTACATAATTCCCTGCTCATGGGCATTTTGTTGGCTGGTGATAATGTAGTCCCTACCCTCACTATAGCACTAGACTCCAAGCTGCCAGGAGAAAGAAATGATTGTTGCTAGACAAGAGTCATGTTTCCTCTTTTACCTTCACAAGTGTAGAGTAGGTCAGAGAGAGCTGAAAGCTGCCAGCTGTGGTTGTGATGGTGAAGCATGTCCTGTGGCAATGCTGCTTTCTTTCCAAGTGCGGTATCTCCTAAGTATAGGGACTGCAAGGTGGGGCAATGGCAGGGCAGCTGCCATGAGTAGGAAGGGCCTGTCCATGCCAAAAAAACAATGACTGTGATGCTGGCAGTAGGACTGGAAATGTTTGTTTGCATCTCCACCTTGGAACCTCTCAGGCTTGTGTGGTTTTTTTTTTTTTCAGTGCAGATTAGAAGGCAGGCAGGAGTCAGCTAAGGGGCTTAATCATCACAAACCTATGTCCTGTACTTAGACAGGGTGCTGAATCCTGTGGTGTGTCTGCTGTGACTGCCTTAATGTTATGCTGTGATGCCAGGTGCTTTTGGGAGGTGTAGGGAGACCAATAAGTACATTATTTGACCAAAATTAATAAGAAAACTAATCATAACCTGTGACCCACAGAAGTCTTTGGAGGAGATTTCTTGGCCCAGGGCCAACAGCAAGGTTGACGATCCCAGTCTGTCTGACCAGAGGGCATGGGCTGGTGAAAGTCAATGGTTACTGGCTGTGTCCTGCCACTACTCAAGTGCTGAATACTTGCTGTGATTGAAGACCTGAGTCTGATTCCCAATTACATTGGGGCATAGGTGCCAAGCTGCTGCTGCTGCTCCATTTTTCAGGAAAAGTTTCCACATGAAAGGTGAAACAAAGAGGAACTCAACCTAGGATCCAAAACCACGAAGCCAGGGAGCATGTTTACAGAGAAGAAGCCTAAGACATAACGCACATTCCACAAGTTGTGAAGACATGAAATTCTCCTGTGACAGCAGCTCACAGCGTGTTGCATGCTTGACCTGCTCCTCCACTTGATGCATGATCCTAGCTTTTACAGGCAGCCTCAGGAAGTTGGGTGGATAGAAAAAGCAACAGAAATTATGTGAAATTTGTCTAATGAGTCACAGGCATCTCCAGGAGCTTTCTCAGTGCATTGCTTTTGGAGGGATACACAGCAGGCTGGATAGCCGGGGTGTGGAGATCTGCCCTTTCTGGTCACCGCAGACATCAGGTCTCCTCCCCCAGCCTCTCTTCATAGCTCCAGTAATAATCAACCCAACTGCAGCTGAAACAGGCATACTGCAACAGGGAACCCTCTCCTGGAAGCTGCTCTGGAAACTTCGTGCCGTCCTCTGCTTTCACTGCTGCAGCAAACATGAACCTAAAAATTGTCCTAATCATCCTGGCTCTGGCTCTTGCCACCATTTTAGCTTTAATTTGTGTGCTGCTGACTCGAGGAGAAAAACCAATGAGCTGCGAGTCCCAGCCTCCGAGAAGCCAGAAGGAAAAGCCCAGGGGCTTCAGCCTGGTGTTTGCTGATCTGACTCCAGAAGAAATGGTGCAAGTGGTGAAGTATCTACAGGAAAACCTTGGGGTGCCACTGGTAGATGCCTCTCAAGCGAACCCTTCTGACAACTGCATTTATTACATTGATGTGCAACTCCCTGCCAAGACAGAGGTGCTGCAGTTCTTGGATCAAGGGGGAAGTTACCCCCCACGGCAGGCACTGGCTGTGGTGTACTTTGGAAACCAACCAGACCCGAACATCACGGAGTATGTGGTGGGCCCTCTGCCCATCCCAACAACTCACCACGACATTACTATGGAGAAATATGGAGAGAAGCTCCCATACTACCGCAGACCGATGCTAGTTGTTGAGTACAAGCAGATTGCAGGGTTCCTAAGGGAGACAGTATTCCCCATGGCACCAGCCTTTATGAGTCAGACTTTTAATTATGATCGTACCAATTTAGCAGCCATGACCTCAGCCCCGCGGGGGTTCCAGTCTACTGATCGCAACACGTGGTTTGTCTTGTTCCAGAATGTGAGCGGCTTCTTCCTGCACCCAGTGGGGCTGGAGGTGCTGGTGGACCACAGCAGCCTGGACTTGTCCCAGTGGAGGGTGAGCAAAGTGTTCTATAACGGCCAGTACTATGGGGATATGGCCCAGCTGGAAAATGAGTTCAAGCAAGGCCATGTGACAGTGGACAAGGTTCAACAAGCCCCTCTAGATGGAGGATTTTCTTCCATGAGGCCCAGAGCAGCCCCTGCGGCACCATTCCCTTTGCAGTATGAGCCCCGTGGTCCACGCTACCACATTGAAAATAATGAAGTCATTTACCAGGCCTGGAGCTTTGCTTTTGGGATGAGCGTGAACACAGGGATGCGACTGTTCAACATCAGATTTAAGGGGGAGAGGATTGCCTATGAAATTAGTGTCCAGGAGGCCATGTCTATCTATGGCTCCAACTGCCCTGGTGGGATGACAATCAGGTACATGGATGGGAGTTTTGGCATAGGGAGATTCAGTTTCCCATTAGTCCAGGGTGTCGATTGTCCTTATTCAGCCACCTATCTGGATGTCCCCTACTTGGTTCAGTCACAGACGCCTAGAATTAATAAGAACTCTCTCTGTGTGTTTGAGCTGAACTCCAAGTCTCCTTTGAGGCGCCATTACTCAAACTTGCAGTCCATGTACTATGGGGGCTTGACTAACTCTGCCCTGGTCATTAGATCCATTGCCACTGTGGGCAACTATGACTACATCTGGGACTTCCTCTTCTACCAGAACGGAGCTATTGAAGCCAAAGTCCAGGCCACAGGGTACATGAGTTCTTCCTTTCTCTACGGTGATGGTCTGGAGTATGGCCACAAGGTTGGGGAACACACGCTGGGTACACTGCACACCCATTCCATGAACTACAAAGTGGACTTGGATGTTGGAGGTATGTGTCTTGATTGATGAGGCATGTCTCTGTGCCTCCATCTCTAATTTCTGCCAGTGTATTGGTGATGTGTAGAGCAGTGGTAAAATGTGACCTTGTAATCTACAGAACTCCAGCTGACGGGCAGCAGAATCCCACGTTTTCAAATTCTCTTGTCTTTGTCTTCCACTGTAATTTTTATACATATGTCCACTTATCAAAGTGAGTCCAGCAAAATCCCAAAACCCGGGATTCAGCACCAGTCGACTCAGGAAAAGGCGGCAGCTTGAAAATGTGTGCATTTTTGTGGCCTCTGTCCTGCCTGTGGCATTTGGCCAGAGGTGTCTAGGCAGATAGGGGAGGAGCAGCCTAGTTTTGAAAAGTGAGTTTTGGAGCCCAAGGTTTCCTTGCTCTAAATGTGGCGCTTCTTCCAGGTCTCAAAGGAAATCCCCTTCTGTGTCTCGGGTTCTCCAGTGTTAAAGCGAAGTGATGCTGCTCCTGCCCTGTGTTGTGGAATTAGTTCGCTTGAGCAGCCCTATCTACTACCTGCTGTCTGCTCTGGAAACATTTGTAGTTCAGGTTTCAAGCCATCATAGTGGACTCCTGTTTCTGCTAGAAGCACAGCTGTGTTTTCCATTCAGCAGCACCTGAATGGAAAGAATGATGGGGAGCATCATTCAGGGTTGGTTTGTCACACTGTGCCAGGGAGCGCTACCTGATGGCTGAAATAATTAGGTGCTATCCTTTAAATGTCTGTTCGTGTTACTACAAACCTCAGAAATGTATGTATTGCATCAGTGGGCAGGTCCCAAATTTCTTGTGTGCATGTCATTATTTATTTATAACCCAGTGAGATGCCAAGGAACCAGGTTAGTATACAGGGAGAAGGGTGCAACGTTGAAGTTCCTTCTGTGAAATCTGTCTCTGCAGAAAGGGTGCAATTAGGAGACACTTGGCATCTGCACTGGAGCAGGCTTGGCACTTGGACACAGATCTCGCACCTCCTCTCCATCTCAGTGACAGCTCTGTGTTAACAGCAATGGCATACTGACTCCTGGAGCTGCACCAAGGAGACGGAGTTTAGCTTATGTTAAATTTTAGTAGTAGTTATTGTGATGCCAGCGCAGGCACCTGCCAGGCATGAGGCAGAGGTTACATGGGATAAGGGTGTGCTGGCTTGTTTACAGGAGATGACTGCACCACTGTAATTACATGTGGACAGACATACTGGCACCCACTTCCTTCATGTAGTCAAGGCCTGAGGGCACACACAAGTTCAATGGCCTGCTTAAGTTCCTCTGCCAGACTTGCTGCATCCCTGGGTTGTAGTCTTTCACCCAGAGGCAGCAAAATCCTTTCTTGGTAAGCAGGGTAAGTTTGTTGGGCACAACTTTTGAAAAGCAAGATCTCTCCACACCGAAATCTGAACTGTCAGAGGTGTGGGGAGTGTCTGCAAAGGGAAGCCATGTCATAGGCCAAGTACAGTAAGCCAGAAATTCTGTGGCGTGACTTAAATTCATTGCCCTCTTAAAGGTTTGTCATCATTTCTTCCACCTAATGCTGAATACTTGCATCCTAGCTTTGCAGGCAGCCTCAGGACATTGGTCTGAATGAATGAGCAATAGAGCCTACTCTTAGCCTGGTTTATAGTGTCAGGTATCCTGCAGCTCTAGTAGTCTTGGGCTCATTTCTCTTTGAAGAACATGCAGAGGGATAAGAGGGCAGACAATGAAGATCTGTCCAGTCTACTTACGACAAATCTCAGATCTCCTCCCCCAGCCTTTCCTTATTTCCTGTAATAATTAACCCAACTGCAGCTGAAACAGGCAGACTCTGGAGGCCTTGTGATGTCCTCTGCTTTCACCACTGCAACGGGGCTGGGGTGGTGCAGGCCCTAAGGTCCATGGTTGACAGGCTAGATGTTGCACACTTGAGGCCATCAGAAGCACTCACAGCGTGGTCCTGTCAGATGCCAACAAATCTGCAAATTCTGCTAAATACCTTGTCACACAAGCACGTAAAAAAGAAAACCAACCACTACAGCAAACATGAGCCTGAAAACTCATCCTCCTGCTTTGGTTCTTGCCACCATTTTAGCTTTAGTTTGTGTGCTGCTCACTTGAGGAGAAAAATAAACCATCTGTGATTCCCAGCCCCCAAGCAGCCAGAAGGAAAACCCCAGGGGCCACAATCTGGTGTTCGCTGATCCTATACCAGAAGAAATGGTGCAAGAGGTGAGGTACCTGCAGGAAAACCTTGGGGTGCTGCTGATAGATGCCAAACCCTTTTGACAACTGCATTTACTACATTGATGTGCAGCTCCCCACCAAGGCAGAGGTGCTGCAATTCTTGGATCAAGGGGGAGGTTACCCCCATGGCAGGCACTGGCTGTGGCGTGCTTTGGAAACCAACTAGACCCGAACATCACGGAGTATGTGATGGGTCCTCTGCCCATCCCAACAACTCACTGCAACATCACCATGGGGAAATATGGAGAGGAGCTCCCATACTGCTGCAGACCAGTGCTAGGCAATGAGTATGAGCAGTTTGAAAACTTTCTGCAGAAGGTCACATTCCTCATGGCCTCAGCTTTCCTAAAACAGGATTATAACAGCAACAATAACATGTGCAGGTTCCAGTCCATCGATTGTAACATCTGTTTTGTCTTTTTCCAGAATGTGAGGAGCTGCTTCTTGCACCTGGTGGGGCTGCAGGTGCTGGTGGATCACAGCAGTTGGGACATGTCCCAGTGACCAAAGTGTTCTATAACCCCCAGTACTATGGGGTTATGTCCCAGCTGGAAAATGAGTTCAAGCAAGGCCATGTCACAGTTGAGAGGGTTCAGCGAGCCCCTCTAGATGGAGGATTTTCCTCCATGATCCCCAGAACAACCCCCGCAGCACCATTCCCTTTTGCAGTATGAGCCCTGTGGTCCCCGCTACCCCATTGAAAGTGACCATGTCCTTTACCAGGCCTGGAGCTTTGCTTTTGTGATGAATATGAACACAGAGATGCAGCTGTCTGACATCAGGTTTAAGGGAGAGAGGGTTGCCTATGAAATTGGTTTCCAGGATGCCTTGACTGTCTGTGGGTCCAACTGTGCTGGAGGGATGTTGACCTGGGACACGGATGGAAGCTTTGGCGTTGGGAGATTTTCCCATTAGTCCAGGGGGTTGACTTTCTACCATCAGCTACCTGTCTGGGCATGCACTTCTTATCCAAGACCATGACCCCTGCAAAACTGGAGAGTGTCCTTTGTATATGTGAGCTGGCCATTGAGACTCCTCTGAGGCATCATTACTCAAACTTGCAGTCCATGTACTATGGGGGTCTCAGTCTCCCCTGGTCATTCAGTTCATTGCCACTGTGGCCAACTATGACTACGTCTGGGACTTCCCCTTCTACCAGAATGGAGCTATTGAAGCCACAATCCAAACCACAGGGTACATGAGTTCTTCCTTTCTCTATGGTGATGGTCTGAAGTATGGCCACAGGGTTGGGGAACATACGCTGGGGACACTGCCTACCCATTCCATGACCTAAAAAGTGGATAGGGATGTTAGAGGTATGTATCTCTGTATGCAAAGCTTCTCTGTTAATTCCTCTTCCTGCAAAATGTCATCCTTTCCTGCCTTTACATTTGTAAACTGAAGCCCACAGCAGGCTCAAGTAGCTCCCTTCTATTCTGTGCAATATAGGACAATCTTCTGGCATGCTCATCTTCCCTTTCGGGGTGGCAGGGAAGTGTTAATGTGCTCTGTTGCTTGTCAGAGCCTAGCATTTGGGAACTCTTGTATAGCATGTTGATTCAAATTGGTCAACCTAGACCAGAGGGAGAACTATTTCCTGTGCTTTGAGAGACAAAGAGAATGCTAGTCTCAGGAATACAGGTTATCTTCCAGTTTTCATGGATGGAAGGAAATTTAGGACAAACATTCCTGTTAGTCAAACTCCAAATCCAAAAAATGGCCACTAGCTTTAAGAAATGATCACTGAATTCATATCAGAGTTGGCATCACAGAGTTACCCTGATTTTCTTTTGTATGTTTTGGCTTCCTGATTGGAGATGTCAGCACTTGACTTTCTGTCATCATAAACATTATGGGGACCTGGTTGTGTTGGATGAGTAGTTACAGGGGAAATGCTAAATATTATTTCCTAAGCAGGTGGGGTATTTTACTAAAGCGGACAAAACTACAGCATTTTTATCTTACTGTTGTGGATGTTTTGACTTCTTCTAGTGTAAAGGCTGCTAATGGAGGACTGCTTGTTCCCAGTCACACTTCCTTACATTCCCTTCAAAAGCAGGCCAACTGAAAGCTCAGTGCTGGTCTTCCCCAAAAGTGCTTCCAGTAACAGGGAGGCAATGGGACTGGGGTGTCCCTAACTTTTCTTTGAAGCAGGGTTACTTAATTGTGCTTTTTCTTCCTCTGGAGTAACACCTTCCCATTGCTCTTCTATACTTTAGGTCTGACCTGACTTTTCAGTGAGACCTTGACCTGAGTAGTATGTGGGTGAAACCTGTAGCAAAAGAAGCCATTGTGCGGAGATTGAACCCTGGGATAGATGGGGTGACCTGGCTGTCCTTAGAGAGACTCCTCACTATGCCCTTCAGGTTAAGCTCCATATCTAAGAGTGAACCCAGGAATGGACCGCAGTGGTATAAACACTTTCTTCTTGAGCTGAGAAGGAGGACAGTCACTGCATGCTCCAGCCCTCAATTCCAACGGCAGGGGCAGGCAAGTCTGAGTGCTCCAGCTGGAGTAGCTCCTGTGCCCTGGCCAGACTTCTGCAGCCCAGCAAAGTGCCGGTACTAAGCCATGGGGTTCTGGCCCTGGGAGCTGGAGGAATGTGCTCAGGGCTTTGTCTCCAGAGCAGGCTGTCCCACGGGAGGAGAGGAGTGGGGCACTACTACCATACATCCTTGCCAATGCTCTCTGTGTAACACCAATTTATATTTGTGGATGGAACTGGCTCAGTTGCACTCGCGTCCCTTTCTGATTAGCCTTGCTGAAGACAGG